TCCCTCTACCCTCCCAGTATCGCCACTCACACCACTGGTCCTGAAGGGATCATCCGCCCTGGATTCCCTGTGCTTCCAGTTCCCATCTGTACCAGGATGTACACAGGTTTTATCTTCAGTATATCCTCTGTGCTTGTGTCCTTCCCTATTTCTGATAGTCTGTGTATTCCCTGCGCCAAAGTTCTCAGGTTGGTCCCAATTCCCTCGTTGATGGCCCTAACACTTTGGGCTTTTACCTCGAGGGCTGTGATCTACCTTGAGTTTATTCTTGTGCATGGAGTGAGGTAAGGGTCTTGCTTCATTTTTCTGTAGGTAGACATCCATTTTATCCAGCACCACTTACTGAAGAGAGCATCTGCTTCCCATTTGATAGTTTTTGGGGCCCTTGTCAAAGATCAGTTGTCTGTATGCGATAATTTTATTTCAGGGTTTTCTGTTTATTTTAATTTTTATTATTCACCTTAAGCTAATTATACCTGAGTTAATGAGATAACTGTCTTTTTATTTCTATACATAGAGATAGAAATGTGTGATTAATTTTATATGCTTTCACATTTAGATTGCACCAAGATTTACTTTGAGAGCAGACATGTCGGACTGAGCATTAATTGAAAACAAACAAAGCCGTGGAGGGCAACATTCTAGCTTTCTGAGAAGGAGGCTGGCAGAGTGTAAAGGATTGTAAAACTGATACTTGAAAAGACCAGTGACTGGGAATATTTCTTTTCCTAACACCATCTTATTGACCAAAGTACTTTTGACCAGGTTATGCACCACCCCATGAAAAATAAATATTAAATTAGCATTTGGCATTATTTTTCCCTAAGCTAAATTTATTGTAGATTCCTTTTGCATCATTTGCTTTCTATTCCTACTTTGTCTTTTGGATCATTTATTTATGTATTTTTCCTTTTCTTTTTTTTTTTTAGTCATTTTATTAGGGGATCATACAACTCTTATCACAATCCATACATACATCAATTGTGTAAATCACATTTGTACATTCATTGCCCTCAGCATTCTCAAAACATGTGCTCTCCACCTAAGCCCCTGGCATCAGCTCCTCACTTTTACCCCTCCCTCCCCACTTGCCCTTCCTTCATGAACCCTTGATAATTTATAAATTATTATTTTGTCATATTTTAACACTGTCCGACGTCTCCCTTCACCCACTTTTCTGTTGTCCATCCCCCGGGGAGCAGATTATATGTGAATCATGTATTTTTTTATGTTGTTATTATTTTGGCACATTTTCCCCATTTGATTTCTCTTTGAAAGCAACATCAACAACACAAGTAATATATGATCATAGTCAAAACCTAAATGAAAGATGAGACAAAAAAGCAACAACAAAAAAATTACCCTAAGTCTTACAATTTTACTAACCACAGGTAATTATTGATAGCACTGTGTGTATGTATGCATGTATGTATATATTTATAAGAGAACTTCAAAAAGTTCTTGGAAAAAATGAAATAAAAAGATAAAGATAATGGAATTCTCCCACAAGCATTTTGATTCAATCAACTAAATTCAACAAACATTTTGTTATATTACATTATATTCATTAATATCCTGCCATCTAGACTAATACAAATTACTAGAATCATTTTAATGCCTATGAAGTATTACACTGTGTATACTGTGGTATGCCCAACTAGTCTTAGAATGGAGGAGTCATGGATAATGATGATGCTCTTTGTTGCAAAGAAGAGAAGACCCTGTGGAAATTCTCCAAAAAGATAAGGAGCTGAATCATTTCACATGACCAGAAGCTCTGAGACGGGGCCGTTCCAGCCTTGGTTATTTCAGGGTCTTGTTAGGGATCCGGGTGTTGTTTGCTTGCTTGCTTCAGTGTCTGTGCCTTAACAACTTGGCCATTCTCAGTGATGGGCTTGTTCTCTTAGACTGGTTTTCCTCCTGGTCCCAATATGGTGGCAGGAAGCTCAGGCAGAGGGAATGTCCTTGACTATGGCCCTTAAAGAGTTAGGGAAACTGCCCTACAAGCCCCTTTAGAAGACGTGGGCTCCTATTAGCTACAATGCTATCACTTGCTCATGTCTAAACCAAGCACTGGGTGAGAGTACTAAGATCACCAATATTCATTTTGAGTCTAAAATTTAGACCAATCAAAATTCACCCCCCGAAGCTGGAGACTCCAAACCGGATGACACCTGTACTTGGGCATGTGCATGTGAACAAATCAAGGTTCGGGTAGTACGGGAAAATGGAGGTACAGAATGACTGGTAGCAACCAACATTTCTCCACAATAAGAGATTTGGCTTTGCTGTCCAATTTCTTTGTAATCTGAGCACCCTTGCAGTTTATAATAATAGTAATAATAGACTAAATATAGCAATATCTGATACTTTGGGGTGCTTTTATGTGCTAGGGTCTAGGGCACTCCTTTTTATAAAATTTCACTTCTCACAACAACCCTATTAAAAAACCTATTGTTCCCATTTTATGATGAAATTGAGGCCCAACAAGGTTAACTGTCTTGTTAACAAGCCATAGGTCTGTTCAGGAGAGGAGTTCGCTAGTTTGTTCCCCGAGCACTAGAGACTGCTGCTGAACACTGCAGAGTCTGGGGCCGTCCCCAGCAGGCCAACACTGTGTGCTGGGTGGTCGTCTCTAACGCTGAAATATTTTATTTTATTGCCCCTCTGGATACTCACCAACCTGGTTTATTGTGCAGGCATCAAGACCTTGGCTAAACTTGAATTTCAGTTGGTAATTGTCGGGTTTTACTCCTCACGGGAAACCTCTGTGACTTGCACTTTCCGTTTCATCCTCAGTCTTCTATCAGTGATGCCGCGGAGTTCAAGGTGGTCGCTGAGGCCATGAAAGTGATTGGCTTCAAACCTGAGGAGATTCAAACAGTGTATAAAATTTTGGCTACTATTCTGCACCTGGTGAGTAGGGACGCCCCTCAGAATATATTGCCTCCATGTGGAAACAGAATTCATGCTCTCTCAGATGATTTGACTTTTCTCCCTCCCTTTGTAAATTTTAAGAGTAACATATTTAGAAAAAGATGTCTCACGTTTTGAAGAATGCCTATAGTTCTCGTCATCGTTTTGTAATGTCATGAGGGATTTTTCTAAACTTCAGTTGATTTGTCTTACCGATGTCGTCTACTTTTTAACTGACTCATTTCAAAGACAGACTACTACAGGAAGGATGTGACTGCCACAGGTAGAAACTGAACTCTTTCTAACGGAACGCATGTCTAATGGCATCTGGCGCATAGAGTCATCCCGCTATTAGACCTGGAACTGGGGCCCTCCCATGGAGCGGCGGGGCAGTGAGGCCTGGACTAGGGGTGGCCTGGCTGGCTCAGAGACACAGCTGCCTCATTGCAGCCTCAGCAGCAGGCGGGCAGACTTATGGTTCATCCTCTGGATTATTAATGACTTAAAAGAAAGCAAGAGCCACGTGCCAGACTTCTTTCCTAAGCAGCGGATCTGCCAGAGGAGAACTGCTGCAGAGTGCTTTCTGAGCTGTCCTTTATGCTTGCAGATCGCTGGGTCTTTCCTGCGGAGCCCTGGGGGAGCTCAAACCGACAGCCTCTCAGTGAGCAGCCAAGCACTTAACCATGGCACCACCTGGGCTCCTTGATTTATTTCAAAAAACAAACAAACATCGCTGCCGCTGAGTCAGTGCTGACCCATCAGGAACCCCTGTGGGTTTCTGAGACTAGGACTGTTTACGGGAATAGAAAGCCCAGTCTTTCTTCCTTGGAGATGCTGGTGGTTTTGAACTGCCGACCACACAGATCACAGCCCAACTCATAACCACGACACCACCAGGGTTCCATGGAGCCTTAAAATAAATGCATAGCAATACAAATTCAATAAAATTAACCTTTCACTTTAAAGAATGTAACCAGATTCAACTCTAAATGAATCAGATAGAAAAGCACAAAACTCGTTGCCATCAGGTTGATGCTGACTCATAGCGACCCTACAGGACAGGGTAGGACTGCCCTCCTGAGCTCCCAAGACTGTCACTCTTTATGGGAGTGCACAGCCCCGTCTTTCTCTGGCAGAGCAGCTGCAGTTTCAAACTACTGACCTTGCAGTTAGCATGAGGTGACCAGATTTTAACATTGGTAAAGCGGGACAAAAGCGGGACACCATTGATAAAACCCCTATCCTGGTGAAATAGCCACATGGCAGCCGAAAACCATATACCCTAGCTTGTCGTGCGTTCTTTCCAAAAATCGGGACTGTTTTAAAACGCCGCAGGACGCGGGGGGAAAATTGTTAAAAATCAGGACTGTCCCACCAAAAGCGGGACATCTGGTCACCTTAAGTTAGCAGCCCAGTACATCACCACTGTGCCACCAGGGCTCCTCAAAAGCCAGAGGGCCTGTAGGAAAAATAAATGTAACAGTACAAATGATACCATTAGCAAATGTTCCCAAGTAGGAAGACATTACTGTTACAAACTGTCTTGTCTCGTTGGATTAGTTTATAGACACAGCGCCAGACTCCCTTTCAGGATCCACACAGGGCTTTCATTCTGCTTTTAGTTTGACTTAGTGATTGTCGAATCCATGGGGAACAGGAAACCTGTGAGAAGATCAAGTAGAATTTGCTGAGGAAGAGTAGAAGCAGGGCAGGGGGTGGGATGGAGAGGAGACAGGACTAACGCTGTCAGACGTAGAGTAATGGTCCTTGAAAACATGCTGCTCACATTCAGCACCAGATTGAGGGCAAATGAAGTATCAGGTTTTTATGTGTAGCGATAGGAACTGTGTTTCAAAAAGTAGGTAAGACAGATCACTTGAATTGCAGTTTTAAATACCAAATATATCCTTAACGGTGTGCTTCAGACTCCATTACAAATGGCTTGTCTTGTTTCTCCCACTTTTGATGCAGGGGAACTTAAAGTTTATAGTAGATGGCGACACGCCCTTTATTGAAAACAGCAAGGTCGTGTCTGTCCTGGCAGAACTGCTGTCTGCGAAGTCCGACACGGTGGAGAAAGCCCTTCTCTTCCGGACTGTGGCCACAGGGCGTGACGTCATCGACAAGCAGCACACGGAGCAAGAAGCCAGCTACGGCAGAGACGCCTTTGCCAAGGTAAAGGCTGAGGCCGTCCTGCGGGCCTGGGGGTGATTCGCTGTGGGGTCAGCGTGAGTCCATGAGGCTGTCTTCAGAGGCTCCTTGGAAGGTAGTGTAAGACTTTTGGAACTGCTCATAATGTGTTTGGCCATCCCATGTGTTTGAGATGCCCGTGAGGTGCCCAAGGCTGTGGTCAGGAGGTGGTCAGATGTGTGACTCTGAAACACAGAGGGATCCAGGTCTGGATACATCTGGTCACTGTGCTGTGCTAGTGTTCTTTCATTCTCAGTGAGATTTCTTAGAGAGAGGATGTTAGACCATCTTTCAGAGGTCAGCTATAGGAAAAGATTCTACCCAAAGTTACCAAGAAACAGCCAGTGAAATAAGAGGAAACTTGAGAAAACGTGGCATCCTACATCCCAGAGAGGAAAAAATGGCAAAGAGAGAGAGGTAAACTATGTAGAATGCTGCAGAGTAGAGAAGTAAGACAAGGTCACGAACGTGTCTCTAGAGAAGTACTTAGGGTACTTAATGATTTCTTGCAATGGAGTAGCAGGATGTGAGCCAAGATTGGAGTGGAGTGAAGACTGGAGGCCGTGGGTATAAACATATGTGTGAGTGAAGAGGAGAGTAATTGGAGAGAATACTAAGGAAGAGTTTTCTAAAGCAGCAGCAATGTAGAGCATGCTTATTCTTCCAGAAGCAATGAAGATGAAGAGGGAAGTTGGAGGAGGTAAGTCCCTGGACCACTGGAAGGGAAAGGATGTAGAGATACGCATGGTGAGGGGCTAGGTTTTAGGGGAGGAAAGATTCTTCCTGGATTATAACAGGAGGGAAAATGTAAAGATGTTGGGGCAGTAGCATCGTCAGCTGGGAGTGTCCAGATGTGAATGTGTGCTAGTGTGTGGTATCTTTGTCTTCCTTGGCAAGTAGAGTATACCCTTGAGCACAGGAAGTGTATTGTCAATTCTCTGTGGCCTTTCTCCTCAGATCTTTACTTAGCATTATGAATCAGGTTGTTGTTGTTTTTCTTAATTTTTAGAATCCAAAGAGCTTTATAGAGTACATACATTAACTCTCGTTGATGGCATTAACAGGGAAGCAATGAAGGGACCCATGTAAGAGTTTAAGCAAATCATTTCCATATCTTGGTAGGGAAAACTGCTTGAGGAATATACTACGTATAATGACCAATGGTACACTTTTAAAAATCCAAACCATTCACACTTTGGTTTTGCATGTATCATGCCATTTTTCTGATGGCTAATCTCTACTTCTGAATGTTCAGTGTCGGATAATAATGGTTGTGCTACACAAGAAAGGGGAGGTAGACCGGAATTTCAACCTCATCCAGACAGAGGACTCACCCCTGCACGGACAAGGATTTACACTGGTCCTCTCCTCGCAGGCAATCTACGAGCGGCTTTTTTGTTGGATTGTCACTCGCATCAACGACATCATCGAGGTCAAGAACTATGACACCACCATCCATGGGAAAAACACGGTGATTGGTGTCTTGGATATCTACGGCTTTGAGATCTTTGACAACAACAGGTAAATAGCATCGACTCCTTAAAACCCGGTTGTTTACTTTTTTGAGTTGCTTAAAGTCAATCTCCTCCTTTTGCTCCAGCTTTGAGCAATTCTGCATCAATTACTGCAACGAGAAACTGCAGCAGCTGTTCATTCAGCTGGTCCTGAAGCAGGAGCAGGAGGAATATGAGCGGGAAGGGATCCCGTGGAAGCACGTGAGTGGGTCTCACCGAAAACGCCCGCATGGTCTCCCCTGTTCTAGATAAAGCACAGCCTGTCCCCGGGAAAATAGACTCAATGAATGTGCACTGACGTCCAAGTGCATTTTCTACATAGAAAAGCGTCTGTGCTGCCACCGATTAGCACAGAGAAAGGATGTATCACCGAATTTTACTATGCAGATTTCTAGGTGGGTGGCCCTTCATGGGGCTCCATCAGCACATTTCCTCTCCCTCCCCTCCTGCCCCCCGCCTTTTAATTTAGGGGGAAATTTTAATTTTAGTAAAGACATGACTCGAAAAGAAATCTTAGGTGTTTCTTAAACTTCTTGGGTGTGTGAAGCATCAGAAGCTTAGTGTTTCAGGACGGGATGTTACATTTCTCCACAAAGCCCTCGCTGCCCTCAGTGAAGGAGCAGGTGCATTGTCCTGACAGAAAAAACAGCTCAGTGCCACTGTCCCCGGCCTTTTTTAAGCCAATGCAGGTTTCCATTTTCTTAAAGCTTCATACTAAGTCCCCACGGTCATCCTGTATCCACGGAGCCTTTGCAGAGATCTGTTATGAGGCCTCTCGGGGTAAGACAGTTGCCATTACTCTCTGAGCTGACCTCTGTGCCATGAACTGGCCCCTCGGATCCACTTCAAAGTAACTGTTTTGATGGTACTTTTTTTTTTAAGGCAACCTAAGAAGACTAAAACCAGTCTATTACTGAGAGAACTTGTCTGTCGCCATCCGCTGGTCACAAGGATTTGCTTACCCGTGTTTTGTTTGGAATCAACCCATGCATATCTGACCCATCACAGCAATAGCTTTTGACTTACCCTTGTGTATAAACGTAGTTCCTTCTCAGGGTTGATTGGTGGGATTTAGGTGCCTTGGTGCATGATGGTTGAGCATGCAGCTACTAACGAAAAAGTTGGCAATTGAAGCCCGCCCACCAGTTGCTACAGGCTGCTTCTTTCATGATCTGCAGCCTTGGAAACCCAGGGGCAGGTCTGTTCTGCCCTCCAGGGTCACTCTCGGTCAGAATCAACTTGCCAGTAGTACATTTTGGTGCTTGGTGTATGTTTTGGTTTGGGTTTTGGGTGGGACTTCATCTCAGTTAAGTTCTCTTTCTATTCCCATGTTGGTAGCTAACAAATGCTGAGTCTGAAGCAGTTAAACCCAGTATCAGTATTACCGCTTTGTGCTGATGCCGTGTGGGTATGCAGCTCAGCACCATCTGTGCACTGTTTAGAGCAGCAATTTGTGCCATAAGTTGGCTCAACTTTGCTTCCAAACGTACTTTCTTCTTTGTCCTTCTTTTCTCCCTTCTTCCACTTAACTGGAACAGCATTTTGTTGTATTCAGTGTGTATTGTACCTATTCTCCAAAACCCAGGCCCTGAACACACCTCTTAACTTTCAGCTCCATGGATTTTCCATTTTTGCACACACACTTCAGCTGCTTCCTCTCTTCCCGTAACGCTTGATGAGCTTTCGTACATATCAGAGTCGAACTGCCTGGTGGACTGTCACCCGGAAAGAAGACTAGTCTAGGTACAGACACCCAAGAGCAGAGCTGACAAACAGCACCCAATGACCATTATTGTGGTTGCCTCTGATTCGACCATCTGCTCATGGTAGAACTGGGAACAAGTAGGTTTTCCATTAAATTTGCACTTTTAAGCAGTTTTGAGAATAAATTTGAAAAAATACAAAAATGTCTGTGTCCACATTTATGAAACTATGTCTGTGCTCTTTCCAAAACAAAAACGAAACAAAACCCATTGCCATCGAGCCCATTCCACCTCTTAATGACCCTGTGTAGGGTTTCCCATGTGTATGGGAGCAGACAGCCTCCCTCATTTTTCTCCCTTGGACAGGTGAGTGGGTGTGAACTGCCGACTTTGTTGTTGGCAGTGCAACGCTTAACTGAAAGCGCCACCAGGGCTCCTAGTACAGGCTATACAAATAATCGAAGTCAGTGTTCATTCTTTTGATGTCCAATGTAAGGTATTGCTCAGAAGTAAAAAGCTGTTTGACAGGCATAACCGTCAAATTAACCACCGTTGTTTATCATACTATGACTTGCATGTTGCCATGGTGGTGGCAGCTGTGCCACTGGTATTTCCAGTACCAGCAGGGTCACCTATAGTGGACAGCTGTCAGTAGAGCTTCCAGACTAAGAGAAACTAGAAAGAAAGGTCTGGTGATGTGCTTCTGGATTTGCCAGTGACAAGCCTATGGGTCACAAGAGAATCTTACCTGCTGCAGTGCTGGAAGATGAGACTTCTCATGTGGAAGGCACTAAACACGACCCGCGATCACGAAGATGCTCAGACCGGGCAACATTTTATTCAGTCCAGTCGCCGTGGTGGAACCAACTCAACAGCACCTAACAGCCATCTAAGTGAATTGCTTATATTGCCCTCCTGCCTCTCCTACTTTCTGTCTTCTCTCACTCAAAACAGGGAGCTAATGCCCTGGTACACATCTAATGATGCTGGAATAAGGACGTCTCCTTCAAACGACATCTTGGCATCCCATCATGTGTAAAACATTAGAACATCATAAAAGTTAGTTCAAGTGTTTTAGTATAAATGTTACCTATTTGCAAATAAACCAAAGGGTTGTCATTTACTTTATAATAGAATTACCTACTGTTTTGATTTAAATAATGAACTCTCATAGCACATTTAAAATGTGATTCAGTTCAATTCAATTAAGTTTATACACAGCTTTCTTAGAATGAATCTGTTGCATAATGTAATTCACAGTTATTACCGAAGCTTAAATTTCTATAGCAAATTTAATCATAAAACATTTTATTCTGATGAGATTCAGAGGTATGACTCAAAAATATTTCTTCACAATCAGAGTATCCAATTTCACAGATAGAGTTCATTAAAGAACAAAGTCAACAATCCTATTAGGCTATTCCAAAGCAAAAATTCTGAGCTGTGTGTCCCAGAGGGAAGGCCCACATAATCCCGAGGTAAAAACTCTTGACTGCATGCCAGGTCCCACCAACATTCGAGTGTCTAACTGTGATGAGGCTTGCTGTTCCCATAAAGCTAAGCAGCCCTGGAAGCCCACAGAGGCTCCCATAGGGCACTACCCATCGGGATCAACTTGAGGGCAGTGAGTTCGGGTTTTGCTTTTGTGGGGTTTTTTATTCTGGATCAAAAGGAGCCCTGGTGGTACTGCCAGGAAATTGTTGAACTCCTAGCCACAAGGTGGGAGTTCAAGCCCACTACCTGCTCCGTGGAAGATGGTGAGGCCCTCTGCTTTGGTGAAGATTTACAAAGCCTTGGGAATCCGCGACAGGGTCACTGCAAGTCAGAATCAACTTGATGGCGGTGGATCTGTTTTGTTTGGTTTTACCCTTGACCGTCATTTTCTTTGAAAACCTAACTTCTGAACATAGTAATTCTTTTACAAATGTTTTATAATGGAAAGTGTCGAACATGCCTAACAGCAGAGAGCCCAACATAGTCAACTCTGTGTATCCACCATCCTTTACCTGCCTTTTGTCAGCGCTGCCCTCTCCACCTGCCCCTGGCTCATTTTCAGGTAAATCCCAGACATCACAGTATTTTATCCATAAATATTTGAGAGGGGCTTTAAAAGGTTTCTGAGAAATTTTCATTATCTTTCGATTCCAATTCTTCCATGAACTTTTTGTAACTCCTCGTATTTCAGTTTCTTTCTCTAGCTGAAAGGCTTTTACAAAAACCATAACCACAATACCATTATCACACCTGAAAAGAACTCACAATAAATTCTTAATATCATCAGATATCTGGTCTGTGTATTCCTGCTTCCTCAATTATCTTGCAGTGGGTTTGGATTTGGGTGTTGTCTTGTGGACTTGATGTTTGTTTGTATTAGAATCCAAGTAAGCTTCTTACATTGTGATTGGCTGATGGGTCCCTTGCACAAGAATAGATTACCTCCCATATTTCCCCCTCTCCCTCTCCTCCTTGCAAACTTCCGTTGAGCCATTTCTTCTGTAGAGTTTCACATAGTCTGGGTTTTGCTAATCACATTCCTGAGGTGTCATTTCATCTGTTTCTCTATTGCTTGTGCTCTGGTTGTTAGATGTTGAGTCTTGGCTGGGTTCTGCTTCAGTATGATTTCTGCCAGTTGATTTCATAGATTATGTGCGAACATCCATCAAGAGGGTCATAAAGTCCCGGTTGCTTCTCTGTCTCAATCCCTTTGAAAGTGCTGTGGTTTAGAAACTGACTTTCGTTGTTGGGAACTTGCTTTTTCAAGCACAAACCTGTTCCGTGAGAGTAGGAATGGGGGTCCCACAGCCCTGCCCTCTAAGACACACACACACACACACACACACACACACACCATCTCTAAGACACCTTCTAGAGCACACCCGACATTTGGAGAACGTGTGAAAACCATGGCTTGTACGAAGTGTTAGAAACATTACAGACTAAGTAAGCACTGCTGGACGCTCCAGTACAGACCATTACCTTTAGTCAAAGAGCTGGAATTTTAAAGGGAAGTTCCTTTCTTTGTTCCTAAGGCAGAAGACTTAGTCTTAATTCCTTGATGCTTCATCCCAAAGTCTTAAGATACCACCTATTAATCATAGAGTTCCTGCCGTTAGAGTAGTTTGAGGATTTTTTCCCCTAAAGATGGGAATAACTCTAATGAAGACGATAGTAGATACCACAGTAAACAACCACAACTCGCTGCCATGGAGTCAGTGCTGACCCCTGTGGGTTTCTGAGACTGTAACTGTGTGTGTGAATAGAAAGCCCATTCTTTCTTACACGGAGCAGTTGGTGGTTTTGAACTGCTGACCATGCAGACGGATCACAGCCCACCATGTGACCACTGTACTATCAGGGCTCCGTGAAATTCCATATAGAAGTAAATATTTAGACCAGAGCTTTGCAAATTTGGTGTTAATGACACTTGGGACCAAATGAGTCTATCTTTGGGGGCTGCCCCATGCGTTGCAGGTATTTAACATCCTGGTCTCGTTAGACACCAGTAACCCTTATCTAGATAGGACGACCAAAAAATGTCTCCCACTGCATCCTGTCACTGCCTTCCAGCCAACTCTGACTCATAGTGACTGTAGAGAGTAGAGTAGACTGCCCTGTGAGTTCTCAGGCTGTCAGTCTCTACAGGAGACGAAAGCCTCATCTTTCTCCCAAGGAGCCATTGAAGAGTTCGAACTGCTGACCTTGCGGATAACAGCCCAGCGTGTAATCGTCATGCCACATGCTCCTTAAAGCCAACAAAGAAATTCAGAAATTAGCCACTGTTAGAATATGGGCTCCTTGTAATGTTAGACTCATTAATGTCATTAACATATTGGGCGTCAAGGTAGCTTCACTTAAACTTGTCCTGTGAGGAGTAGCGGCGTCTGTGTCTTACCGCATGGCCTCTGTTCTTTCACTGGGCCCTCCAGATCGATTACTTCAACAACCAGATCATCGTGGACCTGGTGGAGCGGCAGCACAAAGGCATCATCTCCATCCTGGATGACGCCTGCATGAACGTCGGCAAGGTCACCGACGAAATGTTCCTTGAAGCGCTGAACAGCAAACTGGGCAAGCATGGCCATTTTTCTAGTCGAAAGGTAATGGATTGGATGAGGACCTCCAATTCACCCATGGGATTTTTCTGTTGTTTAACCGTTAAAAGAATTTTATGTATTGACTTAAAAGAATTCCCCACTCAACTAAAAAAGAAAGGCCATAGACATCGGTGAAATGATTTGCCACTGTGGATGAATTCTCTGTCCCACATAGGACAGCAAGATGGATAAAATCCTCATATCCAGGAGAGGGAGCTGCAGACTACTCAATCCATTAGAAACAGGGAAAATGAGCAGGAGTCTTTGGAAAGCATGATGTCATTTGTAACCAATAGGTAGAGTCCTCGTTCGTGTGCTCAACGTTTACTCCTGCATCGGATCCCCTGGCAGTGAAGTAGCTTTTGTCCTTGGCTTTTTACCGCTCACCCTCCATGGTTACACAACATGGTGCAGACCCTGCCCCCCTTCTTCAGACAGCATGACCTTCTGGAAAACAGAGCAGTTCTCATTGCTCTTTCCATACCAGAAAAACACCTTCCTGCAATGAACGGTGCCCTTTGCACGTGCTGTTCCTCACCTTCTAAAAGTGAATGTCACAAACGCATCTCCCTCTTGTCATCACTGGTGGCAGTGGTGGTTATGGGCACACGGGGTCGTGTGTGCCTGGCATGTAGTATGTTTCTCATGTGTGGTGGTCATGGAATCTTCTAAAGCAGTGGTTCCCAACCTGCCTTATGCCGCGACCCTTTCATACAGCTACTCATGTTGTGGTGACACACACCCCCCAACCATAAAATTATTTTCGGTGCTACTTCATCACTGAATTTTGCTACTGTTATGAATCTGGCGACCCCTGTGAAAGGGTCGTTCGGTCCCCCAGTGGGGTCGCGACCCACAGGTGGAGAACTGCTGCTCTAGAGAAAGGGCACACTCCTTTAGCCCAAGGCTGCCCTGCAAACATAATCTGGTGAGCAGCAGCCAGAAGCTGAGGGTGAAACAGCCCCCATGCTCCTCCAGTAAAGCAAAGACATAGCTATTCCTCCGTAATTCCTTGTCTGTCGGTGGCACCTGCCATGTCTCTAGCATGACTGCATCTCTGTGCGAACGTCGTCCCTCTGAAATTAGATCATCAGAATGGAGAGATGCCACAAGGAACTTGTGAGGACACAAATCGTCCAGAAACAGATCCTGGCTGGGAGCTGGTTTAGGCCAGTTGCTTTCTGAAACAGCCTGGTGAGTCGGTCACAAATGACTGACCAGTGACCCTGCCACAAGCAGGCTTGGGGCTACTACCCCCTGACCTTTGACATGCGGGCTCTCCCGTTACCGGTGTTTCTTCAGTTGCTGCCCCATCTGTGCCCCAGACCCTCCATGTGTTTCCTTCTGTGCCAGGTGCCATCCTCACTGGTGAGGACATGGCAGTGAGCAGTCAGAGGTTACCACAGTACTAACAGGTGACACTTTCTAAAATGGTGCCAGTAAATGCCCTGGTGGCATCACTGATAACTATCTTTTTTAAACCACATGTTGGTTTGGGAGACTGGTCTCACATTTTGTCTACCAGATGGTAGATACTCAGTCATTGTTCATAAAATCTAATTTAATAGGTCAAAATCATGCCCAAGAATCCTTATGGAATATTGAATTTTAAACTAAAATGTGCAATGTGCTCATGGTTTTTAAACAATTATGACAACACAAATAAACGTGAGTCCCACACAAGACATCAAATCCATTTCATCTCACCTGGGTCATTTATCCCCAGGAACTGGATTTGTCAGTCGTCTATTTAGAATGTGTCTTAGGATTGCAACCGTGGCTGGTACTTTTAAGCTACTGATGTGACAGAAAATGCTGACCAGCGGTTTATCTGTGGAGTTGGGGATTAGGTCCCTCGCCCCCATCTCTGTCTTTTGAAGGAAAGAAATGGAATCGTAAAGGCATGCCAGACCCAAGCCAGCCCCCCACCCAGTCACTTTCACCCCAAGACCGTAGAGGACAGAGCAGGGCTGCTCACGAGGGCTGCTGAGCCTTTCTGGCTTTACAGGAGCAAATACGTCTTTAGGGTGTCCTAATCCCTATGAAGCTTGCTGTTAAATAGTGCTGCTATCCTTCTCTACGTTGTGCCAGCTACCACCATTTGCCGCTGATTAACTAGAGTTACTGACGTGTTATCAAAGAGGGGTCTGACTTTCAACACTAATTTCATTGGGAGCCAAATTATTTCTTATTCATTCAAGTTATCATAGAGAGGCATTCAAACAGTTCAATAAGCTGTAAAAACAACTACTGAACATATGATTAACCTAAAAAGTAAATGACAAATCTGTAACTTATTTTTTTTAAAAAGAGAGGAGAAAATTCTAAAACCTTCTGTGTCTAGATCAGTTTAGACAACAGTATCCAATTCGTAAAATACTAATACTAATTATTATACTAATAGTAATAGAATCACTAAGTATTTAATTAGTGTGGGCCATCTCTTGTGTCCCTTTCCTTGGGGGACTTTCTAAATTAGAGGATTTTGCACAGTGCTTACTAAGCGAGAAGGAAAGAAGAGTGGAGTCTCTCGGAGACCACGCTGTGTGGCAGCCAGTGTGTCCACAGCGGTCTGTCATCGTTAATGCAACTCTCAGAAGGAAGTAGCTTTGAAAGGAGACTGAGTGATTACGGGGCAGAGCCAAGATCTGAACCCCAGAAGTCTGCTTCTGACTTACTATAATTATTCTCTTGTTGAATGAATAGAGTATCCTTTTATGGTTTAGTTATCTGTATCGAATCCACCACCTCCATAAGGATGATCAGTTATTCCACATTAGAACCTAAGTGGCTGTTTGTGTAAATGTAAGTTGTGCTTCGCAGATTCTTGATGTCTGCTTTTGAACCTGTCGAATATGAAATAATCCTCCACAGGCAGGCAGAGAAGTCTAGTGGCTACTGTAAAAATGGCCCCGAGGGTTTGGATCAGACCAGGAAAATTGCAGAGAGCTGTGGAGGCCACCAGAACCCTCCAAAAGCTGCCTTTCTGGAATATGCTTCCCTTCAGCGTGAGAGAGCTGCAGAAGGTTGGTCTGTGGATGCAGACCTGGCTGCAGTACAGACTCGCGGAAGACAGGTCAGCCAGGCTGCTCTGCGTCTCGAGAGCACAGACCGCGCACTCGGCCCCAGGAGTCCTTCCCAGAGCTGGCCACGAGCTCTGGGTCTAAGGTCTTGAGCCTTCCTTCCCATGTGTGTCAGAGGTCATAACGCATTTCTTAAGTGTTAATTGTGAGGACTAAGATAGTTGGCCCTCAATAATGACAAATATGGTTTGCCCCAGGTGGGTCATGGAGGAGCGATTGTTGTAATCAAAGGGGCCTGGGCTGTGGTGAGGACTAGCAGCCAAGATGTAAGTGTCGTGGACAATAGAAGTCTAGTTGTCTCTTGCAGGGGTCTGGGTTTCCCCACCCCCTAGGGACTGGCCATCTTGGCCCCAGCAAGTAGGAGACAAAAGAGGGCCCAGGGGCATCCCATGAGGAGAGAGATTTCAAGTGAAAGCTCACAGTCTTTATCCACAGAAGTCAAATATGAAAACCCAGCCCCACCCCAATGATTACATTCATAACAATATCAAGGTTTGCGACCTTATTGGCTTTTGATTTTCCTTTTTAAAAAATTTATCATCTCATTTTTTAAGTTGGAATGCATTTTCAGAAAAATTAATGCCTCCATTTTGAAAGTAATCTCCTTGGTTTCTTAGCTCTGTGCCTCGGACAAAATGCTGGAGTTTGACCGAGATTTCCGAATTCGACATTATGCCGGTGACGTCGTGTGAGTATGTTCTTCTTGGCACATAAAACGTGGTTTGCATGCAACAACACTTCAGAAAGTACCCCAGAGTGAGTAATAAAACATGGTTTGCATGCAACAACACTTCAGAAAGTATTCCCAGAGTGAGTAAAAGTTGTTTTCCCGCCCAGGTGCATTTTTCAGACATTTGTGAACATTGATATCTTTTCATCTCTTCATTAAAAAATAATGGTGATGCTTCATTGGTTTCTGGTTTGGGTTTTTTGTTGTTGTTTTTTTTACCGTATATACTCGGGTATAAGCCGAGTTTTTCAGCACATTTTTACTGCAGTTTTTTGTGGTAAAATTAGATGCCTCGGTTGATATTCGGTTGGCTTATACTCGAGTATATATGGTAATCATTTAATTGGTAGGCTCTTACAAATCTTATAACAATCCATCATTCAATAGTATTAAGCACACTTGTACATATGTTGCCATAAACATTTCCAAAACATTTACATTTTCCTTCTACTTGAGCCCTTCCTATCAGCTCCTCTTTTTTCCCCTCCCTCCCCACCCTCCCACTCTTGTGAATCCTTGATCAATTATATATGATTGTTGTTACTTCGTATCTTACACCGTCCGTCCGTTGTCTCCCTTCACCCACATTCCTGTTGTTTGTCCCCCTTGCGGGAGGAGGCTGTAGATCCAACCTTGTGATGGGTTCCCCCTTTCTGCCCCTCCCCTCCACCCCCCATGATACGGTTTCTGTTTCTTGAACACTTGTTGGGCAACAGTCTTTGCTCAAGCCCAGTCCCTAACAGAGTTGCGACTCAACAGAAACTGACCGGTGGCTAAGCGGGAACCGATTACAAGGATCTACATGTGACCTCCTTGGGTGCAGACAGCAGGGGGTGGGTGAAGGCTAAATGAATCATGGGACTCTGTTAAGGACTGGAGGGGAAAGATGGCTAAGATCAGCCTTGCCCTTAAGGACCCACATTTTAGTGGAGGATACAGGCAGGTGCCATGCGAGTCCTGGTGACGAACAGTGGAAAGACTTAAGCCAGAGGTCACAAGGCATTCTGAGAGCCCCAAGGAGACCTAATTAACCAGGGTGAGAAATACAGAGAAGCCTTGCTGGAGGGAGTGACACCTGAGATGAGTTCTAAACAAGTAAAAAAAGAAGAAGGAAGATGGAAAGGGGAAGAGAGGGCAGCCCAAGCTTAGAAGACGGCTATGTGAAGACCCCAGAGATGCCAGAGTCACGAATGTATGTGAAGTGCTACAAGTAGTTGAGTGGCTATATAACCAAAAGCTGTCATTCGAAAATTGAAATTCTTACAAGGCCATATCTTCTTCTGATTTACCGTGCAATAAAACTAGGAAGAAGTAACTTAAATATAATTCTGACCGCGTTTAGTCTGCTCTGACCCTCCCCTCAGCAGCCCTCATCCTGTTTTTAAGGTTTAAAATTCTTTTTTCCCCCTTTTCCCGTTAGAAATTCTACTCATGTAACCCATTCCATGAAGAAATTAAGCCAAAAAAAGCAAATGATCATCTCTCTAAATGTTGAAAAGACATGCGAAGAAATCTTAATAGCTGTTTCTGACTTAAATGACAACACTGGACTCTTACAAATCTATGGCTCAAAACAATCGTCCCATTGCCAACTGGCCATTGACCGTGGAGTCACACCACTGCCCCCGCCTTCTGCCAGCTTCAAGGGCACATCCAGCACCCTCCGTTCTGTCCCCTGAAAACCCACAGCCCACCTACACAGTATGAGTACCAGATATGCCTCTTGCCTAGTGAATAACGCATGTTTTCTTTTCTCTTTTGTTGGTTTTCCTCTTAGCTATTCTGTCGTTGGTTTTATTGACAAAAATAAAGACACCTTATTTCAAGATTTTAAGCGCCTCATGTATAACAGGTAAGACTGTAATTTTATTCATTATCTTTACATAGGGCTTCGGAATAGATATATTGTATAATACACAGGCATGTGATTATGCAACTTTTAGAGTTTCTGCAAATTTTCTCTCTACTCAGAGTACTTAATGACTAAACTAGTGATTAGAGGGTCTGCAGACTTACCGATTTCCCCACTTCCCACTTGGGTTGGCTCAGTGTCTCTATTCACTGTTGCCAGTCAGTTATTTACATCCTTACTGCATAGACCAGGGGTCCTCAAACTACGGCCAGCGGGCCACATGCAGCCCGCCAAGGACATTTATCCGGCCTGCGGGTTTTTTGCCGCCACTGCTTGTCCTGCTTAGCAGCCGACTCGTCCAGTGTGCATAGGAATTTGTTCACAGTTTTTTTTTTAAACTATAGTCTGGCCCTCCAATGGTCTGAGGGACAGTGAACTGTCCCTGTTTAAAAAGTTTGAGGACCCCTGGCATAGGCAGTGGCAATGGGAGCCGTGTCAGGCAGCCTGTGGCCCAGCTAGAAATATTATAGGCTCAGCTTCTCTATATAATGACTCTTTGCTCCCCACGAAGAGACCACTCTAATACCACAGTAGTGTCTTGTGTCAGTAATTTGGATCATTCTTATAAAACAAGAAAAATGTAATACTTTTTAAAAAATTAACAGTGACAAATAATTGGCAAATGATATCCACTGTCATTGAATTACTTCCAGTGGGTGCAGAGTAGAACTGCTCCATGGGGTCTTCTTGGCTGTCATCTTTGTGAAGCAGATCACCAGACCTTTCTTCCATGGCATCCTGGGTGGGTTTGAACTGCCAGTCATAGGGTTAGTCGTCTAGCACAGCCATCTGTGCCTCTCAGGAGCGGGCAAGCAGTAACAAGTTCAAATGCACTATGGATGCTTTGGAAAGAAGGTCCATGGAGAAGAAACGGTATTTTTTTTCCCCTTCAGGTTAGAGAACTGCATTCTCTTATTTATTCCGTCTGTTCAACCAGTTGAACAGTAGGTTATCAAAAAGTTGCTGAGGCCGAGTATGGGTATGAGGTTAACACAACCTGACCAAGGTAAATAAAAACAGGGAGTTTGGAATTGAATTTATCTGGGGGTCTTAAAAGCTTGTGAGCAGCCATCTATGATACAACTAACTATTAATCTCCACTTATATGACCAGAGATAATGAAGGCAATCAAAGGCTGGAAGCGTAAACTAGGCCAGGGGACTAAGAACCCCAGCTTCTTCTAGCCTGAGACCAGAAGAGCTAGAGGGTGCTTGGCTACTAGGAGCCACAAGGCCCCAGGCAGAATGGATGAAAAAACGAGAACAAAACTCAGGTTCTTAAACAAGGCCAGACTTGACTTACCAATAGAGAGCACAGGAATCCGGAGACTGTCGTCCTAAGATACTCTTTGAACTGAGAATTGAACCTAATTCTGTAGATCACCTTTTGGCCACATAATAGGTTGGCTTTTATAATAAGCAGTATCACCTGTGAGCAGTGTGCTTCCTTAAACTGTAAGACACCAAATGGTCAGAATTTACCAAAAGCAAAGATAAGAAGATAAGGAGGAGAAGGGAAACTAGAACAATGAGCTCATAATGAAAAATGCTATTTGTATACAAAGTGTTCACGGAACAATTTGTGTAAAAATAATTCAATGGGTGCCCAATTTGCATAAAAATAGTTCAGTGGGAGTCCAATGTGCTGTGTAAAATTTCACATAAAACATAGTACAATACTATTAGAAGAAAAAACCCATCTCAGAAAAGAAAATCATTGAAGGGTAAGGTCTTGATATTAACAATTGGAAGAGTAGGGAGCACTACCATCTATCTTTACACAAAAGCAGCAAATAAACTGTCGAAATTAAAAAGCTGGGCAAATCTAACTTTTTGGAACTCTGACAACTAAACAAAACCTTCACAACAACCAGGGGAACACATTCAAATAAATTTGGGAAAAAAACTCATCTCAGTAAGAGAGCTTTGTGGAGTTTTAACATCACCTGGTCTCCCCACAGTCTTAAAGACAACAGCCCGCATCCATGGTACCAGGTACCTAGTACCCAAGAGAACAGAATGAACCTTATTCTTAAGATACAGCGTCTGGGGTCTTAAAGGCTTGAAGGCAAACAAGCGGCCATCTGGCTCGGAAACAACAAAGCCCACAGAGAAGAAGCACACAAGCCTGTGTGAACACGAGGTGTTGAAGGGATCAGGTAGCAGACACCAAAGAACAAAAACCATCATTGTGTGACTACCTTCCCCACATAAACGCTGAAGATGAATGTGTGCATTAAGTAAGTGTGG